TGCAATAGTCAGAGTACTTATGCTTTGATACTCCAGGAAAGTAAATTTAGTGTATCCAAGAATCTTTCCCTTGTTAGCTTCGCTTACCCTATACCATCTGCCATCTTGCATGATGAAGTAAGCTGATGCTCACAGAGGCTCTTGTCACAATAAACAGCTTAAGAGTGGCATGCTTGGGTACTTTTCAGGAACACTCAAATAAGACTGTGTATTGCTTATATATTAACATTTGGTTTAGTGGGGATGGGAGAAACTCTTATGGGCAATTAAAAAAGAATGGTTGTAGCACAAGTAAGTTTCGCTTCCATGAGAGACATTGCACACACTTTTGTAAATGAAGAAAATCTTTAATAATAATAAAAAAGTAAGTTTCGCTTTCAGTTATACAGAATAGGCCAATGCTCCCAGAAAGTACACAGCACCCATTTGCTTTAAAAGCTTCTTGCATCAATTCCCCAAATCTGCATGTTAATATTGAGAATTTAAAGAGCAAGGGCGGGGGTGGTAGTGATGTAGGGACACCTTGTAAAAGATGAAATCCGTTGAAATTTGTGATAAATACTAACACCTCTAAAATGCATTTACAGAATTGTGTGAATGTTCCCATAAATACATACTGAAATATTTGGTGTGTGTATGTGTGCTGCCCTACCACCCACTAGCCACCCCACCAGTGTATTTGCAAGTACCAACTTAAAAAGGAAGGAGGAAGTGTTGCTTAAAAAAAATAATTTCTCAAAATGCAGATATAAAATACAGAAATAAATGTCCACAAAGAAGGTACACTTCATCAAGAAAGGAAGAGAGAACACACCAATGTTAGAGGGAAAAAGGGAGATAGGGAGTTTCAGTGGTGCATGACAATTTAATTCACCAAGAACACAGTTATTCGAGAATAGCCATCTTTCCTTCATAAAATCTTTTGGGGAAAGATATTGTACTCCACTTGTGGTGGTAGCAGCTCAGATTCAGAAACTTTGGGATGATACTGCTTGATATCTTAAATACATTTCTGTGTGGTTTCTGACCTAGATATGGCACTGAAATTTCCTCGGTCACCCTCCCAGAGCAGCTATAAGGACAGAAAGACAGATGAAGTTCATCCTCATAAGTTCTACTGAGTCTCTCAGTGGCCTTTGATACTTTGCAACCTTCAGTTCACTTTCCTGCAAGGCACTACAGGTATGTTAGGCATCCTATTCCTTTCTGATGCACAAATGCCTGAATGTGGTGTGGCACTATAGCTTGACAACCGTGTGCTATGGTGTCCTACAGAGTTTCAGCTGAGGCCCATTCAACTTTCATTCAGATTTAAAAAACATGCCACAAGTAACAGGTGGGTTCATTTTTGTCATCTCAAAAATGACAAGGCGGCTCAATGTGTATGGGAAGTGGTACCCTGCTCACTACTGATGTGAATTTGTACTTCCCCTTGAAGAGGTTTACAGCTTGGGGAACTGTTAGATCCTGGCCTTTCAATGGGTGTTCTGCGTGTTGCTTTTCATCAATTTATGCTGCTTCTGGGCTCTCTTAGAAAATGAAAGGCATGTTGTGGTAATATCCAGGTTAGACTTTAAAACTGGAGACTGTTTGGAACACAGCAGCTAAATTTTTATGTGGAACATACTAGCCTGAAGATCTTCTACCTGTTTTAAAGTGCTTCCACTGGCTTCCACACACAATTCACATATTGGTTTCAATCATATACATTTATTACTAATATTTCAATCCTGCCATTTAAGGTTTGGGACCAAGGTATCTGAAGAACCTCCTTCTCCCACATAAACCTACCTGATCCTTTGGAAACTTTCCTCCTGATGCCCCTCCCTTCCTGTGTTCAGTATCATCAGAGGATAGACAGATGTTCATGAAACAGGGCCTTATCAGTGGTGGCACCCTATCTTTAGAGCAACCTCCCCAGGCAGCTCTGTAAGGCTCCAATGTTACCCTCTCTTGGCTTTGGATGTTTACATCAGTTTTTTAAATATTGTAGGTCACTATGTTGCGAGGGAGGGCCAGAAAAATTGGTTCCCAGTATCCTCTGCATCTCGGTTATCTGCTGATCAGACTGCATAAACTTTCTTTCCCACTTCACTGCCAAATCCCTAAGCAACTGACCCGAACTGCTATCAGGGAAGCTGCCAAGTTCCTGGAAGAGGTCAAGCAGAAATTCTCTCCTTCCTGATCATTAACCACTTAAGACTGAAATAACCCTTCGTTAGCACAGGGCACGGGAAACCTTTCAATAGCCTGCAATTGCCCTTTCTTTTGAAATAAGTAAACGAATACAAAAATATATAGCTGACTCGCACAAGAGGACACAGGAAATTGCCTTGTACCACTGGTGCAGGTCAGACCATGATGCATCAGTATTATCTACTCTGTATTTTGTGTAGTGTTTTATGACACTGCAACTTTAAATTGTTGCTAAATGCATACTCTGACTGGCAGTGGCTCTCCACATTTTCATGCCGCAAATGTAACTTTCATGCATGTATCCTACCACTGAGCTGTCCCTCAAGCACAGCATTGGAACTAGGAGTGTGCACTGACCACAACATTTATTTAGGACCCCAATTCTGGGTTTCAGGAAACTGCCTACCTTGATTCAAGGCACTTTTTAGATTTTCTGCTTCATCTAGAGAGTTCACGTGAGTCCATTTTGTTTCTCCCACCTCCAAAACAGTATCAGTTATAACTTATTTTCCTTTAGGCAGATGTGAATGAAAGCTGCAAAGCAATGGAGTGGAGGAAGCCTGCCAATTTACATGCAGTTAGATCCAGGGGCTTTTCTACGGGACAGTTTTAAAGTTTGGTTTTTGTTTGGGTTTTTTAAAAAGGAAATGTCTTAACTTTTAAATTCTGGGGTAGAATATATATCAGGCAACCTTGCCAATTCTGAGGTCATGAATCCTGCCAAATTTCAGAAGCAGAGCTGCAAAGGTTTCTCCTCAAGGGCAGCTGTCAACAGTTTTGGCATTGTGTGAGCAGCTGGCTTGAAAATTGCAGGCATGGGGGAGGCACCCCTGCATCTAAGAAACCTGTCAAATTTCAAACCAAAATTTCCAAGGGCTTTTGAAGCTGATTTCGGGGTGGGAAGAACTAAATGGACCTGCTTTTCTAATAAGATCATTCCCATTGATTACAAGCTAGATCCCTCAGTCGCATTGGACCTCCTCCTCCTGACCCTGACATTTTCTTCAAGCTAGAGACATACAAACAAACAAGATGAATTTTAACAGGGAGAAATGTAAAGTATTGCACTTGGGCAAAAAAAATGAGAGGCACAAATACAAGATGGGTGACACCTGGCTTGAGAGCAGTACATGTGAAAAGGATCTAGGAGTCTTGGTTGACCACAAACTTGACATGAGCCAACAGTGTGACGCGGCAGCTAAAAAAGCCAATGCAATTCTGGGCTGCATCAATAGGAGTATAGCATCTAGATCAAGGGAAGTAATAGTGCCACTGTATTCTGCTCTGGTCAGACCTCACCTGGAGTACTGTGTCCAGTTCTGGGCACCACAGTTCAAGAAGGACACTGACAAACTGGAACGTGTCCAGAGGAGGGCAACCAAAATGGTCAAAGGCCTGGAAACGATGCCTTATGAGGAACGGCTAAGGGAGCTGGGCATGTTTAGCCTGGAGAAGAGGAGGTTAAGGGGTGATATGATAGCCATGTTCAAATATATAAAAGGATGTCATATAGAGGAGGGAGAAAGGTTGTTTTCTGCTGCTCCAGAGAAGCGGACACGGAGCAATGGATCCAAACTACAAGAAAGAAGATTCCACCTAAACATTAGGAAGAACTTCCTGACAGTAAGAGCTGTTCGACAGTGGAATTTGCTGCCAAGGAGTGTGGTGGAGTCTCCTTCTTTGGAGGAGACTTTGGAGTCTTTAAGCAGAGGCTTGACAACCATATGTCAGGAGTGCTCTGATGGTGTTTCCTGCTTGGCAGGGGGTTGGACTCGATGGCCCTTGTGGTCTCTTCCAACTCTATGATTCTATGATTCTGTACGTTTCAGATCTGCAAAGTTGCTTCCTGTCCCTATTAGCCCCACACAAAGTTTTCTCTATGGTATAATCAGAGATATTTTTTTCACTTTTCACAGGTACTTGTCTGCAGAGTTTGATGTCTAGATCACCAAGGTGCCACAAAATGCCTCAGAGCTTTCCCTTTTTGACTTGTGCAGAGTCAGAGGGATCCCATTTTGCTTTGGGCAAGCCCCAAAGCTGCCCCCCACCCCCAGGCACCCTGCTTCACTTTGGGATTAGGGATTTGAGACACAAAGCGTTTCTCAAAAGACTGCAAACGGGGTGAATAACTTCTAATTGTATCTCTCACCTCACTTCAAACATGGGTCTGCCCCCTACATGTGGTATGATGCATCTGCTGCTATCCCACGGCAGAGTTCATGCTATGTATGCTTCATTAAAATCAACGGCACTGACATGAAAAGCACACACAGGATTGCAATCTTTGGCTTTCAGGTTGCTTAGTAAAATGATCTAGAAAGCTCAAATGCTTAAGAGTCTGCAAGAGCTCCTGAATTCTGAATTAAAGGCCACAGCTACTTTCTAGAGCTGCTCAGTACTACTCCGTCTAAGATACTTATCCATGCAGAGTGTGAGATTGGCCCCCAAATTGCTTCTTAGATGCCTTCAAGTGCAAAAAGTAATCAGGATTTTGCAAAAGAGCTTGTTGTGAGAAAAAGTGTCAACAGTGCATTTCCAGCATTAGAAACTCTCCCATGTAGTTCCTTACTATGTTAGCAATCTGTTCTACTTTAATCGTTTGGGAACACAATAATCCTAGAAGCTGGAAATGTAAAGCTCTCCATCATAAGACCTCACTATATTTCAACAGGACTAAAATATGAGAAAGTTTTTCTAGAATTAATCAAGAATGCAGTAAACCTCTGCCATTTCTCAGAGACAAAATATGCACATCAATAAGCTCATTTGACTATTTTTAAATGAAAAATGCCTTATTTTTGTACAGCTTTTCATTGTGTTTAATGTCAGAATTTAAAGCCTTTGTGTGTGTTTTTCTACAATCAGTCATCAAGCTCTTGTGCCACCTGGGCTGCAAAATACATCTGTACATTTACCTGCCTTGAGCCCATGAGAAGGAGTAGAAAATAATCAAATTAAAATTACGTTTTAACCCGAGCTCTTGTAAGTTTTCAAATCAAACATGAACTAATACATAACCATTTATCATGTATAATCTTTAACAGAACTGTCCTTTTTATTTCCTTAGTTCCTCCTGACTGTGCCTTTAAATGCAACTACGATGTGAGCTGCAGCCCAAACACACCTTTTTCCATGGCAGCCATCTGTGAAAAGTTGTTTGGATGAGAAAGCAATTTTAAGCAAATGGAGGGGTGGGTGGGTAGGAAGGGAAAAAAATCTGTACAGCCCCCAACAAAAAAAAAACAAACCAATACGTATTTTCACTTTGCCCTAAGAGAAATGAGTGGTAAGGTCAAATGCTGTTATCTGAACCCCCTTTCTTTGGTTGTCTTCATTTGTGCCCCAGTAATTAAAATTCACAAGTGGTGGGGGTGGAGAAACAGTCTATTACCAGTAAGAAAACTGTTCCCTGATTTTAACCACAGGCAGACATTAAAAGCACTAGCAGTGCAGCAGGACTCTTAAATTATATACCTAAACACCCACACATTATTGGACCCAGAAGCTCAACTATAACCCGACCTTGTTTTGAAATATGACCTGCTCACCGATATTTGGCTGTGAATTATACTGCTGTCAACTATGCCTTTAAAACAAATGGCTGACCTTTTGCAAAGTTACTTGGCATGTAACTCTACACAAGAAAGAGGGCCAAGAGGAAAATAATTCAGTACCATTCAACGGTTCTTAAGCTGTGTGATTAGACCTTTAAGAGTTCTTGGTGAAGTTAAAGATGCAAGAGTACAAGCCGCTCTTGCAGAAGAGTGGTTAGCACAAACTGCATGCTCAAAGGACATACACACACTCTCTCTCTATATTTGTAAAAGAATAAACTTTTGTGCCTGGCGTGCTCTGGTCCATGGGGTCACAAAGAGTCGGACACGACTAAACGACTAAACAACAACAAAAACTTTTGTAGGAGTCCTATTTAGAAGTTCATTAACAGGATCCATGAAGGGGCCACAGGCCATGTGCACTGCCCTCTCCAACCCACCTACCCTGAGCATCAAGATCTGATGAGAGAGATTGAAGGCACATTCAGCTGAGCAGGCTTACAGTCCTCCACACGACTGGGAACTCTGATCACACAGGGCTCCTGTTTTTAAGGACTGTAACATATCACAGCACATATGGAAACAGTCACTCTGGAAAGGGGGGGGGGAGTTCTAACAGACACAAGGAAGGAAGGAAACCCACTTCTTGAAGAAACCAAAACTGGTGATCTCCTGTGTTTATCGTCTGCGCAACACTGTTGGTGTATAAATAGCACAAACGTGTTTCTGCATATTCTTAATTTTCCAAGGCAAGGTGATGCAACAGGTCAAATGGGAATAACCTTCAGCCACAAAGAGGATCAGCTGATTTTTCAAAAAGTCCAGTCCTCTGGGTGTCATGTCTTCCTCAGCCATCCTTTTGACATTTTGTACATCTTCTTCATGCTGTAAGTCACAGATTTTTTTATTCCTTTAAAAGAAAGAAAAGAAAAAAATGAATTATAGTGGGCCCCTTACATGGGGAGACATTGCTTCTCCCTGGCTATGACAGAGTGCAAGGGTTCTCAAGGGCCGAGGAGGTATGCTAACATGGCTCAAGTTATTGGAGGGCTCATCTGCTCTTACATTCTGGCTGCTGTTTTAAATCACAGTTTATTGGCTTTATCATTTTCTTGCATTATTTATGTTAGTAAATATGTCAGCCACCTTAAACAGAAAGGCACAGAAGAATAACTTCACAATGCTTATTAAATACTCTTCATTATTGCTCCCCATTAGCTGTTTTAAGAATGTTTTGGCTTTTTTATAATGCTTTGTTTGTAAATTTTGGGCCTGTTTCCTGCCCTGGACTCCTTCGGGAAGAAGGTCAGGGTATAGATTAAATAAATAAATAGCAATAACTAATAGACTGTTGAACAACAAATAAAACACTGAATAAATGAATAGCAATAAGTAACAAATTAACTAATTTTAAAAGTAGGAAAAGGAAGCCGGACATTTAGGACAGCTTCAGTAACTAGTGTTTTATACTTCGTTACCTGGTGAAGCATCCCACAACTTTATGGCCAGTTCTTAAATCAAGAGAATTTGACAATATAGTATACATCCCCTAATTAATCTATTTTAACTAGTCCCCAATGCATTTTTGAAGACTCTCCTTACTAAATCCTACTCTTTAAATGTCTCATGACTTGAGACTCCACAGAGGTAGGTGTGTTTGCTGTAATCTTTCTGCGAAGATGACCATCTTCAAGATTTCAGTCAGCAGCCTACTGGTGCTGTGTAACTAAATACCACACATGCAAGTGCTTCCTTCTAGCGCTGCCATTTGTCACTTTGAAAACTTCCTGGTATTTTCACTCAAGAGAAAATGGAACCACCCCCCAGGCTTTTTCAGGCTAGATCTGTTGCCTGATATAGCACCCTTTGCTTTCTATTTCTCACTCCCATATAGCCTGGAAAAACAGCTGCCACGTTTCATGGTTGACATCTGCACCTTGCAATATATGCTACACGCAAGCACTGCAGGATGTTTCGTTCACTCAGAATGACGCAGACCAATATCTATCAAAATCTGTCACTCAGACAAGAAACAGCCATAAGCAATCCACATGGCAGGCAAACACGACTGCCTACATGGGAACATCCCTATGCAACTATGAGAATAAGGGGAGGACAACCACAGGTTATTTGCAATGAGCACTGCTCATGCTTCCTTTGAAAACTCTGAGCTCAGAACTTGACCACCTCACTCATTTTAGATTTGCATGCCCCAGAGAGCCACAGCACTTAATATGCTTCACCATCAAGGAGATGCACAATGATATGCTTCGAGGTTTTTCACCAGAAGCAGAAAGGGAGGAAGTCAACTCTGAATTTCTTAATTTTAGGACGACATTGTGTTCCTGAGAATTCATGAGCAATTTTTCATTAATAAGGATGGATCAAGACAGGCAGCTGAATCTGTCTCCAGCTAAGCTACGCAATTTTTACAATATGTTTTAAGAACCTTAAGACCAAATTCTCGTGGATTTTTCTTCTACCTACTCAATAGTATTTTCTGATCGCACCTTTGAAAAAGGGTATAATGAAAAGGGGTAGGAAGTAGTATTCCTGTTGTTGTATAACACAATAGTCATTAGAGTTCTCATTAACAGATAATGGGTAGTATCTAATGGGCATCACCCCACCAATTGGAGGGATCCAGCAGCAGAATGGGGAGGGAGACCATTTTTGTCTACCCCTCCTACTCGCACCTGCTCCCATGTGCTCTGGAGAAGCAAAGGGACACCTATTGGTTAACACCCAATATGACAAGCTTTGTAGAATAAATATTTGGCTACATTGTTAGTAACAATACTGCACTGTTGTTCTGCTGTAATTGAAGAGATGGTGCTGCTGGAGTCCATGCTTAAATCCTACTGTTCTAATAGCGAATTCATTCTCTGTAGATCTTTACAGAGACAAGATGCTAACACCCACAAATAATAAGCAAGCTTAGGAGAACCAGAATGTTTGCAAAAGTACCGAAAACATTTAAGGCACAAAACCTCAGAGGAACCCCAAAACTACCCAATGAGGACTTGGGCACACTGAGTGAGCATGGGAGACTGATAGACAGAAAAGGAGGGGGAAGTGAAGGCACACCCTAGAAAAGGACATGTGGCACTTAAGCCAGATGGTAGACTTAGACTCAGCGGTGAAGCAAGCCGATTGGGCGCCTGGGGTGGCACCCAGGGGCAGGGCCAGCCAGGGCAGGATGCTCTGCAGGGCCTCCGGAGTCTGCCTGCCTCCTCCCACCCAGCTGCCCTACAGCTGGGGGGGGGGGGAGACAGTGGGCGGACTGCTTGGGCAGCGTGGAGCCTGTGTGCGCCAAAGCCACTGTGTCTCTCCCAGGAGAGATGCATGGCTCAGGCATGCTGCAGGCCCCGCGGTGAGTGCCACCCGCCATTTTGACACCCCCCTCGGTGGTGACACCCTGGGTGGCCAGGGTGCGGTGGAGGCAGGCTACCCCAAGCTACTGGAATTTTCTGGTCTTTAGTAAAGGTAAAGGTACCCCTGCCTGTACGGGCCAGTCTTGACAGACTCTAGGGTTGTGTGCTCATCTCACTCTAGAGGCCAGGAGCCAGCGCTGTCCGCAGACACTTCCAGGTCACGTGGCCAGCGTGACGAAGCTACTCTGGCGAGCCAGAGCTGCACATGGAACGCCGTTTACCTTCCCGCTAGTAAGCGGTCCCTATTTATCTACTTGCACCCGGGGGTGCTTTCGAACTGCTAGGTTGGCAGGCGCTGGGACCGAGCAGCGGGAGCGCACCCCGCCGCGGGGATTCGAACCGCCAACCATGCGATCGGCAAGTCCTAGGCGCTGAGGTTTTACCCACAGCGCCACCCGCGTCCCTTTCTGGTCTTTAACTATCAGTCTAAATGGGGAGGGCTAATATCAGTGTTTTTCCTATGCAGCAGTCTGAACGTAGCCTAGCATTGTTCATAGCTTCAAAATCTGAATACTCAGGAATACCTAGAAGAGATATCAGTTGGAATTAAATAGCAATGCATATCTTGGCAGAAAGCTAAGCATCGCTAGATCATTACTGCAAATATAACAAAACATGGCTTTATTTTACACAAGGTTGCCAAATGCAATAACTGTGTAACACACACACACACACTCCTTAGAAGCAACTAAATATAAAACATTTCCAAAGCTTCTAAAAGTTCTAAAAGATCATAAGGCCAAGAGGAAAAATAAATCAATGGATGGTGCCACTTCTAATAGAAACCAGACCAGAAGTCTTGCCACAGATTTTAGAAAACACACAGGCCCCTTTTCTTGAAAAGCTAAATAGGGCATCTGACAGTAAACAAAAATATAGGGCTCAAACTAGTTTAAAACCACGCTGGCAGAAAAAGATGAAGGGAAACATTACCAGTTGTTTTAAAAGTCCTTGTTGTGCTCCCTGCCAAATAATGTTTGCAAGCAGAGCACGGCAGCTACATAATGAGTGCCATCGAGGATCCAACTGCCTACCATATGGCCTGTAGATATTTCAGGGCTTAACAAGGGCTATGTTACCTGTGTTTCAGCATGTGATAAACGGTTTATAAAAATGCAGGCATCATATTGAAACAAGTAACCGTTGAGATTGCTGAATGTGAGTTGAGCAACAGCAAATGTTGACAACATAGAGCAAGTCCTCCCTAGATAACAACCATATAACTGCCAGGGAAGCAGAGAGAAGGAAAAGGGGGACATAAAAGGAAAATGCAAGTTGCTAATGCAACAACGTCTGGCTTTTGAATTCTGCCTCAAGCCTGCCATTAAAATTTGAATAAAGTCTGCGTGGGAAAGAGGAAAAAGGGCGTAGGAGATGGGTGGATAATACACCAACGATAAATAATACTCATACAAGTCTGTGCTAGTTCAAAGATTCATTAGGAGAATTACAGTTGTAACAGGAGAAGGATGGTTAAGTGGTTAAACCGGTATCTTTGTATACTGCTGAATATATGAAAAACACCCACACACAGCAACCCAACTTAATTGTGCTTATGTTCTTAAGACATCTGCTGCACTGCGATCAACCATGCTTTTCTGTGGGGAAGCCACAAACTTATCTATTAGTAAATTAGTGTGTGTTAAGAGCTGAAAGTCAAGGCGCCCAGGAATTCCCACCAATTAAACAGTTCTAAAACAGATGGTTAATGTGCCAGGATGCAGGTGTGAGCAACTGGCCTCTAGTGGCAAACATCTCATGCATTTATGAACCCTCAACTGTGCTGGTGTGAGGCCCTCGCAGAGTACACTTTAACGCTTCAGAAGCCTGAAACAAAAGTTTCATGATCTGCAGATTATGCAAAGGAGAAGAGAAGGAAGCTCAGTAGCTCCTTTGTTGCTTCACAGCTAAGTCAACAGGAGTAACAAAGTTAACTTCCCCGGGTGAGCTTCCTACACAATTCATGAACAGCACTAGAATGTGGGATAATTGGATGGGGTGTGGGTGGGCAGGCAAATAAAAATCCAGAACTGAACATACTGCAAGCCCATGACAAGGTATCACTGCAGGTATAATGTGTAATTTGGCCTTGAGATTTCTTTTCTTTTTCTTTTTGCAATATCTCAAATGACAGATAGGGTAGAATTTATTTATTTTATTAATATACCACTCTTCATCAAAAGATCTCAGGGTGCTTCACAAGATAAAAGATTGTAGCATGCATGTGAAAAGAATTAGTATCAACTGGGTGGTTTGAATCATTGAGAAGTGCCCTGTAAGTGTGAACTGACTAAAGAGAGTTTGTGGTTAGGTGGCTGCAGCAGACTGAGCACTTGTGATTGTAGGCAGAATCTGCATAGGGGCAGTCAGGGGGGCTGCGGTGGGGGCGGGGCCGCCCCAGGTGTCACCACTGAGGGGGGTGACAAAATGCCGGGCTAAACCACAGAGCCTAGGACTTGCCGATCAGAAGGTTGGCGGTTTGAATCCCTGCGACAGGGTGAGCTCCTGTTGCTTGGTCCCTGCTCCTGCTAACCTAGTTCAAAAGCACCTCAAAGTGCAAGTAGATAAATAGGTACCGCTCCGGCGGGAAGGTAAGTGGTGTTTCTGTGCACTGCTCTGGTTCGCCAGAAGCGGCTTAGTCATGCTTGCCACATGACCCGGAAGCTGTACGCCGGCTCCCTCTGCCTGTAAAGCGAGATGAGTGCCACAACCCCAGAGTCGGTCACAACTGGACCTAATGGTCAGGGGTCCCTTTACCTTTACTACTGCTTCCTGCTATTCCAAAGAGTTATGACTGATGTGGCGGACTGGACAAAATCTGGAGAGTAAGTCTTCTTCTTTGGTGATCACTTGTAGCTGAGTAAGATGGTTATGTATCAAAAATCAGGTCCGTGAATTTTAAAATTGTCATAATACTGTCAGCTCATTTAGATAGTTTGCTTTAACTATGCAATGCCCAGTTTAGTGAGTCAGTAACTCAGACAGCCTACATTTCAACAAGTAACTGCAGAAATATTTCTCAGAAGCCCAAGAGTACATAGCACAGATCTGTTAGCAGAGACAGCAATATGATGCTCACCAAAGTGATTAGAATGGCTGCTCTCAATGGCAGACAAGAACTTCCCATGCGGAGTGTTCTGCACACAGCAGATGCTGAGCATCTCCTGAACTCAACTGAAGTGCTGGTTCTTAAGGTACTTGAACCAACAGGCTCTCTCATTTCCAACCCTTAGATATGCAAGATCATTTTTATTAATTTCTGGAATAGAATTAGGCTTGCATGTGTATCTTCCTCAAGGATATGGTCCATCAGGAAAACCCAGCACCACATGCTCTTACCAGCTGTTAGGGTGGTTTTAGCACTCTGAATTAGGCTGGACGATCTCACAATTCCTGAAATGCCTGGAGAGAGAGGGAGCGAAAGAAAGAAAGAGGATAAACAAAAACAGATGTTATCCATGATACTCCTTTTTTTTTTTAAGGTGGTGGTGGGGTTACAAGTCAAATATTTTTCCAGTAACACAGTAAACCCAGCATGACAGTATGACTTGCCAATTACCCCAATGAAAACTGTTTATTTTGCTTTTATCGAGTAGATTCAAAAGCTCATTAAAATTATTTCATGCTATTTAACACATACATTTACATTAAAAAAAAAAACTTTTGAAGGCCATTTCACTAAACAGAGAAGAACTTGGATTCTGCAATCAAATATATACCCAGTAAGAAGTCATAGCCAATCACAGTTCTTTGATTATTCTCATGCAGCTACTGTGTAATTGTCATCAATGAGTATTGCTGGTATGAGGCACATATTCACAAACACACATTTGTTGGATTTGCCATAAAGTATGAAGAGGCCTCAAGTGCTGTTCATTAGCATTAAAATATTTTCCAGAAAACTGGATGCCACACCTTTGGGAATGAGCTGCTTTCTACAAGTAGAGAACAATATAGTGTCTAAGACATGCATGGAAGGACTTTTGCAAGCAGCAACACATACTTTCCCCCCACTGTGAATATTTATGCATGCTACTGAGACCTGTGGGTATAGGGCGGTATAGAAATTCAATAAATAATAATAAATAACAACAACAACAAAATAATACTTTGCCATATTTCAAGAATGGACCTCTTTAAAAGATCCAAGACACAAGGGACAGTGGGTGTACTCTAGCCAAAGTTTAAGCCCTTTTACCTTAGTTTCATTGCCTCCAAACTGGGGCTTCATATGCTTGAATTTTAATTGGATTGTGCCCCTTATTTTAAGTAACTGCACCTTATACAACACTGTTATGAAGCACTTGACATTTTTTTAACCTTATGCATATACTCTCAATAACTATCAAGGTAGTGACTTTTTGGGGGGCATTTTACAGATGAGGAAAACTGGGATTTTTTTTAATCCGTCAACCTCAAAGTCATTTAGGATGTCTATGACTCAGAAGGTACTCAAGGACAGATCCTGGGATAAAAGCACAACCCATCGTCTATTGGGCATAACTAATTCTTTGGCTCAGCTCTCAGGAACTGCAGTTTGCTCTGAAGGGCACGAATTATTGGCTAAGACTCGAGGAACTGTGAAACTTAACACTGCACCCCCAAAGGAGTTTGGGGCTGGTTTTTCCTGAGTAGTATCACATGACAAACCAAGCAAGGTGATTTTAAGCAGAATGGGGAGGGAGGGAAAAATCTCACCAGGAATGGCTAAACATTAGATCTCAAGCAGTAATTAGAATTTGTTCTACCTCCCCTACCTAAAAGAGTGATTGTTAAGCACTGACTCTTATAAAAAGCTACTATTATTATTCATCAGTAAGCTTACCCTGGTGTACCACTAATCCACAGTCAGGGTCATGGGCAACTTGCAATAAAATTTCTTCCACATCTCTGTTCTTTCCTGGAGGATCCATGAGAAAAGTTATTTGCTGCTGTAGGGTCCTTGGCAGAGCCATTAGCTGCGCAAATTGACCTTCTGGACTCTTATCTATCTAAAGAGAGAGAGAAATGAACGGACACGGGTTGTTGTTTTGAGCAACGCTGCAAAAGATTTTAATACTATGCTCTGTAGGCACATCCATAAATTGCAACAAATATTGCCGTTATAAGAGTGCAACCCTCCACACAGTATGAACAAGAAGAACCCTGCTAGATCAGCCCAATGGTCCAGCATCCTGTACTCACAGGAGCCAACCAGATGTCTGTGGGAACCCCACAAGCAAAGTTAAAGCACAAGAGCAGGTTTCCAGCAACTGGTGTTCAAAAACATACAGCCTCCCAAACGTGGAGGCAGAGCATAGCCATCATGGCAAGTAGCCATTTTGTGTTTGGTTTTTGGTTGCAGAATTAGGGTTGTAAAATGGTAGCTTTCTGCATTCAAGGCTCTCCTGCATAAGAGGGTGAAAAGTTCAAAGGAAGGTTAGAAGTTTAAGGGGATGTTTTGTTAAGGAAGGTCTGCACAGGAGGGTCAAAGGATCAGCATACAAACCTGACAATTAAGGGGAAATAACTAGAAGGTTACTCTTCTGATTGGCTGAGAGGAGAATATGTCAAGCTAGAAAGTTAGGTAAGGCAGTTTATTGTGGAGTCAGAAACCTGGAGAGAAGAGCGGAAGAGAAAAATGGGCTGAAACACTTTAAGAGAGCTGGAACGCTGGAAAGTTGGATATTGCAGGAGTAAGGAACCAGGAAAAGACCATGAAGGGACTTTATAAGCTGAAGAGAGAGGTGCAATTCTCTAAGTATTTACTCCACCGTCTGGCTGGGTTTCCCCAGCCACTCTGGGCGGCTTACAGTACATATACAAAACACAGTAAAAAGTCAAACATTGAAAACTTCCTGATACAGGGCTGCCTTGTGTTGTTCTTTATTTCCTTGACATCTGATGAGAGGGTGTCCCACAGGGAGGGCGCCACTGCCAAGTTCCCTGCAACTTCACTTCTTGCAGTGAGGGTTTATTTAATCTGCTCTTATGGGCTTCTTCCTAAATTTATTTTCAAAGAAGTTGACTACTCTTGAACAAGAGCTACAATCACTTTTGCAACTATGCAGAATTTTGAAAGCAGAATGAGACCTGGTGGGTGAAAAGCATAAAGCAATGAACTTCCACAATAAGGGTTATTTGGGAAACATAAGAACAGAAATTATTTAATCTTTAGCTATCTGTTTAAAGACTGAAAAGACCTATAGCTTGAATTTCTATTAGGAACATAGGATTTCTGCTTATACTGAAACAGACCACTCGTCCATCTAACTCAGTACTGTCTAAAGTTCCAGGGATGTCCATCCAGTAGATCATGATCTACCGGTAGATCCCCGGCTGATCCTGGTAGATCACGGGATCCTTATTAGCAAAAAACACCCTCTGTGCAATCCTCCCCCAAAAAAGCTCAGCAACTCTGGGCAATCCACCCACCCGCCCCACCCACGCTCCTCCTCCCTCCAATGACAATGGGTAGATCACTGCCATGTTTTTTATACTGGGAGTAGATCACAGTCTCTTGGGAGTTGGATGTGCCTGGAACATCCTGGCAGTAGCTCACCAGAGTTTCAGGCAGGGTTATTTTCCAACCCTTCCCAGAGACGTCAGAGGTTAAACCAGGACTTTCTACATGAAATAATGAGCTGGGCCCCTGATCCACAGCCCCTCCATCTATTTCACCTTTTGAGTACAATGCTACCACCTGGCTCTCAAGGCATCACGTTCCGAATTGTCCTGTTTCTAGTACCTTCTGAGAGGTAACAGCCTCCCGGCAGCCCTGTGTTAATTTACAGTGCAGACACCCAACCCCACCTTCACTTTAGCTACAGTTGAACAATCACAGTGCAATGCAGTTTATTGGAGGAGTATTCCTGGCAAAACAGGCTACAAACTTTTCACTTTAACCAAGTTCTTCAAGCATAAATGAAAAGCATATACGACAACGAGCAACACAGCAACCAGATGAATAGCAGAAACACATTTTTATCACTTCAGGTCCATGGCTTACAGAAATTACATGACTGACACCTGAAGGGCTGTTAATAATGGTATGCTTGCACAAAAGAATCCAGAACCTATTGAATATGCAATTCTCAGAATCTAGAAAAGTTGCGTGAAGCTGCTGTTGTCTGTTTCACTACTATTTATCACATTAAAAATCGAACTGGTGTGGGATATGCCTTTGGCACATTTGCTACTTATGCTGAACATGAGCTCATTCATGCAGTCCAACCAGGGAAAGGGAGAGGGAAGGACACATAGACATGCCATCATTAGCAGTTTTTGTTGTTTTTGTTTAAAAAGCTTTTCATCATTAATGGCTTACCTCCAGTTTCCCCTGCTGGTGCTTGTACACCACTTGTGGGCAATCCTCTAATATGTTACTGTAGAGCTTCTGAAAATGCAACATATTAGGCTTCACTATGTTCATAACCTTTGACTTATCTTCTCCAATTATCATTCTGAAGTCACCTAAACCAAACCAAGACGGACAACATACATAGTATCAATGAAAATGCACACAATCTGAGGAAGGGATGACTTCTAACCATGTCTGCAAACTATGGAGTGGATACTTATTGTTAGGGAAACCACTCCTGCAGATGTAATGCTAACCAAGTTTTTATCCAGAAGAGAAAAGTGTGTGGGGAGAAGGGCATGAGACCTCAGGCAGCTGCCAATTGCCTAACCACAGGTAGGAAACCTGACAATATTAAGAGGCTGATTTCTACATTATTTGTTACCGGTGCGTATGTGTAGCCTGGAAGAAAAATAGATTATGCTTGATGAACGGGAGTCAGTTACAAGACAACAGATGTGTTAAGACGCTAAGCAAAAGGGTACAAAGCATTATCATATTCTGACAATAAAAGATAGCCGCTTTTTTTCTTTGTAGGATAAAGCACTGTTACCTATATAGCAAGTGCAATCAAAATATTCAAATGTACAGAGCTAGTGTAAACAGGCATGTTGGCAGCCCATTAAAGAAAGAATGTTTTGGTAACCAAAAAGGAAAAATGGAGCGCAAGATATTCATCATTTAGTTAGCAATTTGTGGCCCATAGTGAGGAATGCACTTGACTGGTGTGATAATGGACAGAATGTCAGATCTGGATTAGGGAGAGTCCAACTTGGGACACTTGTTAGCAATGTTATCACAGGATTGTTGTAGGGAGAAAATGGGGTCACTCCTTGGAGGAACAACGTGATAAACATGAGATAAGCTTAAGTGAAAAAAGTAATATGAAGCACCTGCTAGGCAACACACTTGTTTGTGTCTGTCCACATTAAGGGGACCACCCCCATTTGTAGTTTTTGTAGCTCGTCACACAAGGGACTCCCACTTAGGTGTTACTAAGCACAAGATCATACAGATTCGCTTTGACCAGTTCCTATTTCTCTTGAAATAGAGACGCTGACAGACACAACTATTTCCACTACACTTCAAAACTGGGCCTCCATTTGACTTCTGAGCATACTGCCCTTCCAGTTGATGCAATGCCCCTACCCAGTTCTCTCAAAAAAGGGACCGTGCAACTGCCTCTGCATGGTGCACTCATGTGCCCAGTGGAGGCCAGAGGATCATGCACTCACTCCTCTGCCTCAGGAGGAGGATAATTGCCCAGCTAAATTTGTGCTTTTCTTTCCCGTGATAAGAACTGCTCTTCTCTCTCCATTATGCAATCTGTAGAGGTGGAAGTGTCAGAAATGGTACCTGTCAAGAGACACAGCAAGGGAAGTAGAGCCTCAAACACATTCTTGTTGCACACTACTTTAACGTCCCACTAAAAATTTTAAGTAAGGTCCAAATCTTAACCAATGTCTGTTTTTTCCCCCCAATCAGAAATACTTTTAGAAAGAATTATGCAGTGGCGGCCCTTTAGAATTACCGTATTTTACACTTTTGACACCAAGGAATTGTTCTTCATTTGAGACCAAGCAATTATCCACCACTCATTCCTTACACAGGCAAAACGTGGGAGACAAGGAAGGCTTTATCCATCCCAAAACAGTTTGATGTGCTTTGACTCAATTCTAGCTCCGTTAGCAAACATTACATGCCAGGGTCGCTTTTTTAGAAGGCTGTTCTATGCTCAGAAAAACAGGAAAGGTGGCAACTCACACATATGTGTAAAGGGGAAAGTGGAATTGAGTGCTTTAAACACAGGAGGAACTAATGTAAGGGAAGAACACAATTTTTAAAACACCAGTCAGAATATTGACCGCATTAAGCTTTCCACAGTAGGGAAGCCTTCGTTAACATGAAAACAAAAGGGCCGAGGCAGCCTATAACAACAAAGAGAGGAGGCTTTTTCTCATGATCTAGGGATTATAACTAGGGATATAATCAAAATTTCCAATGTCTAGTTTCTAAGTGAGGGACACCAACACAAAGGCATAACAGTTACATGTTATAACATTTGTGCTACTCTGCAGAATGTGCCTTAAGCTTTCCTGAAACAAAGCACCTGGGCCATTATTCAGCCTCGTCTGACAGAAGGCTACCCCAGGGAAGGTCAGAGGTAGTTTGTCAAAGGATTTCCCTTACCACATAAAAGCATAATATACTCACTCAGCTTTGAACCATGCTGTGCCAACAAGGTTTCTCTGCAATTCCAAGACCACTTAGTCAAGCCTTTGCCATAATGCACTATGTAAGCCTGGGCTTTCCCCTCCAAGATTAAAAGGTTATACATCAAGCCAAAGCCTGTCAGTTCAACTATATTGTGTTGAAACACAGAAAAGCCCGAAAAATAAAGTAAAAGTTGCAATATACAGTGTATGTAGCTGCTCTTCCTTGCTGAGATTTGGTTTCATTGAAACCAAGGAGTAGCCAGATGTTGAACCTCAACTCCCATCAGCCCTCCCTCAGCTAGCATGACTAATGGTCAGAGATGATGGAAACTGTAGTCCAGCAACATCTGGATGGCAACACACTGGCTACCCACAATTTAAGAGTTGACCTGTACATATTTCATTTCAAGCTTCAAGTTTTATTGAGATGTTGCTGAAGGGTACTGGTGTCTGGTTTTTGTCCAGAAGGGTTTTTTTTCCTCCATATGGCAAGGATGGGCTCTCTGTATTTTATCTGTGAAAACATTTTTACCCTGCCATTTGGATCTTACAATATAATTTTAAAGTTAAACAATACAGAGCAATATAGGACATTATGAGAGTCATTAAACCGCACTGACTGAAGTCAAAGAGGCTTCCGAAACAACAAAAAGCCAAAGAGTTTTCTGAAAGAGCCACATAAGCCAGCTGCCTAAAAACTAGGAGTGAGGGGACTGGAATGGACCTCCCTCAAGAGAGATGCCCACAACATTTGGGGGAACAGTCCAAAAATCATTGCCAAAGCCCAGGCCACCCTAAACCAGCTTTCACCAATCAGGTACCCAGGTTGGAAAGACAACTCCCATCATGCCCATCATGCCCAGACAGCATAGGACTTTATTAGTTATTTCTTACATTCATATCCTATCTTTCCCCCAAGGAGCTCAATTTGGCATACATGGTTCTCTTCCTCCTCATTTTATCCTCACAACATTGTATCCTGTGAGGTAGGTCTGGCTGAGAGACTGTGATGGGCCCAAGGTCACCCAGTGAGTTTAATGGCTAAGCAGGGATTTGAACTCTTGTCTCCTAGGTCCTAGCCCAACACTCGGAACCACACTGGCATTAAACAGAGGTAGTTTCATATGGGAGAAAGCAATATATGAGGCAATGGCAAGCTTTGTGTAGGACCAAATTAAACACTCTTTTTTTTCTTTTTTGGAGAGTGAATCAGTATATGCTCAACTAATGCTTTTATGGGAACCCTTGGCAATCAAGACAGGAAGCACAGAACAGGATGTAGCGACACATACTTCATCCAGGTTTAGGGTCCTTTTCGAACCCTGGCAGCAACAACAACAAAAATACACTGAAAGTCATATTAACCACAACATGAAAGTCTTACTAACCGCAATAAGAGAGCCCAGCAATCTGCATATAAAGATCCTCTTCAGAGAAACTTTCAGGTAACATAAGAAAGGCTGCTGTGACTGCGCTCTTCAAGTTACTAGTAAGGGCAGCTTGCAGCTTAACGTTCTCATTCTGCGTAAGGATTTTCACCTGAAAAGTAGTCAAAGGAATGGGTAGGGCGTCAGAAATTACAAGCATTAAACATACACACACCAAAGCATTTCCATTTATTTTACTGATTTACAAACTGCTTCACAGCCATAGCTAAAGTATTATATGATAAGATAAAATCTGATAAAATACAGATTCTAAAAACAATAAAACCATCATTACAACTGCACAATTAATATTCCATAAAATGACCGGGAGAGCTTTCTTAAACAAAAATGTCTAAGGCAGGCACCTAAACATCAAAACACTAAATGCCGGTCTAACTCCAGCTCACTCCAGAGGGCAGAAGCTGCAATGCCAAAAGCCTGGTTTCTGGTACAAAATCTTGAACTGCACCTGATAGCACAGTGGCAGCCAGTGCACTGCAGCTCCCTCAGCAGAGGTATTATAATCTATGATGGGATTTATGTGCTTCATAACTGACTGCAAATCCCAGAACTATGTCACAATATATTAATGAAGGCACAATGATTTAGAGATTTTCCAATTTTGTCGAGCTCCACTTTCAACAAAGCAGATCTTCAACATTATAAATAAAACATTTACAGAAAAACAGGCGGCAATAAACACCTATAATCAATGGAATACATCAATGCAAAGCCTGTGCATCTCTGTAACATATTGTTCTTGGAGGTAGAAACAATAGCAGACAGTGGTGCTCACCTGACCTCCTGGTGCCTGCATCACTGAATACAAAGAGATTGTCAAGGTTAGTATGGAGCAAATGCTAGGGTTGCCATATTTCAAACAGTGAAAATCCGGACTTCTTTTGGCAGGATCACAACAAAAATTGCTGTTTTTGAGCCATTTTAAGGGGAAAGCAGAAAAATCAGCACTGTCGACATGGGCTGCCATACATCTGGATTTTCGGCCAATTTCTGCCCAGACGCTGCTGATAAATGTGGTATTCTGGATAAGTCCAGGAAATTCCAGGCGCATGGCAACCCTAGCGAACACACAAGTGGGAGATGGACCTATGTGTTTGCACCACGCTGACCTTCCTCTCTCCATCCCAGTTTTCAGGAGCAATGCTGACAACTGGAGTCAGGTGAGTGCCAGTGGCCCATGCCAACACCCACTATTGGGTATAAATATTTTGATTTAAATAACTTATTTCTAGGCCACTTAGTCCTAGTTTCATGATTCCCCAAGACTGAGTATCAGAAATGACACGGAGGATAAAATTCAACTTAATAATAATAATAATTTATTATTTATACCCCGCCCATCTGGCTGAGTTTCCCCAACCACTCTGGGTAGCTCCCAGTCAAGAGTTAAAAACAATACAGCATTAAATATTAAAAACTTCCCTAAACAGGGCTGCCTTCAGATGTCCCAGTGGCTACTCCCAGACACCAGTCTAGCTGCCGCATTCTGGATTAATTGCAGAACTTAGCTCTAAAGAGGTTGTTCTGTTGGCACAAGCATTTCTGCTTATCCAATGGAACAAATCTTCCTTCCCCTTCCCCCATGCACTGTTCTGAGGATGCTCCCAACCCTCCAGAGCAGATCTGGAGAAGATACAGGGGTGAGGGAGAAAGCCTCATGGCACAAAGTCCTTCCACTGGCTTCCACAAGCAGAACGGGTTAGTTGAATCCAGCCCTATAACAATACCCATACACTTCTGCATCAATTTCTATTCCATTTTCGAAAATGCCCAAATATTTGAGTTTGATGAAGTTAAAAAACAAAAGAAATACTCCATAGATCCCATGTACACATGGCTTTTGCTTTGCTTTATCACATAAGAATTTTGTTGACACTTCAGTAAAAAAAAAAAAGGATACTGCCTTATAACAGGTCAGATTATTTGTCCATATAGCTAACTCTGACTGGCAGCCTCTCTCCAGAATCTCTAACAGGAGCCTTTCACACCACTTTCTACCTGATCTTTCCAAATGGAGGTGAAAGGGAATGTATTGGCACATGTGGCGCTTCCACCTACATAGACATGAATAGGAAGGCATGTCATGGGTGAAAGGTTATCACTCATGGCACTAACACACTTATTAGTCTGGCTTGAACGTTTGTACTGCAATGTTTGGCTGCAATACTGATGAAACGTCATCATTTGTAACCAGTTCTGACATATGCTGGAAAAGCTCCAATTTAAGCACATTCTTCTACCGCTTGAGTCATCAACTAGAACAGACAAGGCGACAAACTTACTTCCGTTGTCTGTGATCGAGATCCAAAGAACTGTGAAACTAGAACAAGGGAGCCCACGGGAGGAGAGCTGGACCTGTTCTTGAACATTAACAGCCCACACCCACCATGGAAATGGCTTTTGAAAGCAAGGAGAATTTCTGAAGTTTGATATGGGATAGTGGTCAGCAGTTCACAGTCAGAAGTTCCACTGAAGTAGCACAAGTCGCCTTCCTAAGCAGCTCTTTGGATCCCAGCATATATTTCTTCTGCTGTAGCAACAAGAGACAACCTCGGAGGCCTTTGCAATTTACTTGGATAAAATTAACACATGAACCCTCGCACATTTGTAGGTGGCTTTGATTTGAAAAGACAAAAAAGGAAAACCAGTCTCAAAGATGCTGAAGAGTAATACATTGATGCCTACCTTATTTTGCTACAGAGAGGTCTTTCTCAGTAGCTTTTATGTTCCTTCGTAATTTCAGCAATTTCAAAAATGATGTTTTTGTAAATGGAAACATGGAAACCCCTGAAGGAGGTCTGTTTAGGTGGAAAAAGTGATGTTCATTTGAACATTATTCTTCGGCATCTTTGAGATTCCTTCTCCTGTTTTGTCTTTTTCCTTGGATGCTTCCTGTTTCTCATTTGCGTGTGTGATTTAATTTGAGGCAATCTGCGCACCACTGTGTTGCATTTGTCCATAGAATAATCAATGTTGTAAACATATTTACACAGTTATGCAATTTCCCTCCAGATTTTGCCCTGCACGATTCAGGAATAAGTATTGCCTCTAACCAAATTACCCTTTTCTTCTATTTTTTTTTTTTTTAAGTTTCCACAAGATGATTTTAGAGTGAAGGAGACAGCTGGAGCTAGACTGCAATGAAACAAATAGACTGATATTATTACAGTGTGCAGTTTTCGCAAACATTTAGAAGGTATATGGGTAAAAGCAAGTCCATGACAAAGAGATGATTGTATCCAGAACCTCACAAGCTTAAACCAGAGCCGATGATATATATTTCTGAACACAACCCTCGAGACCCAAAAGAATCTGTGGGGCATACAATATCATTATTCTTCCATTATCTCCCCCCTGCATTTGAAGTGTGGTTTTTGTTAGCGACACAAAATCTGAACCATCTGAATAGTTAAAGGTAAACTGGTCCTGGGAGAGGCTATTTGAACACATGCTTTCAATTTGCTTTCCTACATGTTTTTAAAAGCCTAATTTTACAAACAAGCATTTTTCCTCCTCCTTGAGGGGGGGGGAAAAGTCAATACAATCTCCTAGAGCTGAAAATGGCAGCTGAGAAGACAATAGGGGAATACAGTGAAAGACCAGCTGCTTTTGCTGTCTGTCTAACGGCCAAATTACACAGCCAGTTGAATAGTCAAGTGACCAAACAGCCAGTTCACCTCTACTGAGAACAACTCTGTTTATATGCTAGGAAAAAGCCCGATATATAATAGCCTATCTGCTTGACTGAGAGGGGGGAAATGAAGAAATGTGGTCTTCTGACTCAGTTCTTTCACTTGATTTACACTACCTGCCATCTCATATTGAAGAGTCAAAACTAACAGAGTTTGCTGGGGTTTTTTTAATATGTTCATTTTAACATCTGATTCAGCAAGACTCATTGTAACCATGTCCTGCGGATGTAAGTTAGAGAGAGAATCCAATATAAATGTATTATAAGGGGTCTTCGCCATAACCCACTCCTAAACATTTTACTCCATTGAACACAGTGGGCCTTGGTCTAAATTAAGCATGTAGAGGTTTCATCTGTTTGAGGGTTCCTTATGTAACATTTTCTTATAAAGACCCTATTTATTCTTAAATTGCATGCACCCCCCCCAGGGGCTTTGGGATGTTCATTCTCCTCAAAAGTCCATTCACAAGGTGTGGCATGTTATATCATGCTGCATTTCTGCTGGGAAGGGGGGTCTATTAAAAATACTGTATTTTCAGGGCCTATTATCCTTTCATCACAAATGATTTGGCTTGCCAAAATTTATGATGTTGCAAACAAGGATCCAGTTAAAGGAGGGAAGCACACACTTTGCACACAGTGTTCATCTGTGGCATAATCAGTTAAGTATCTGAGACTGCCCTATAGGGGAGGGGGAAACACAGAGAAGCACAGGTCTAGGACTTCTTCCTTTTTTCAGAGCATGAGCAATGACGTCATCAGCCAACGTGACAGGATAACTGATGGATTGTCCTTGCTCTGGCAAGTGAATTAATATGATAATCAGAAGTGTGAGTTTGTTTGTGACAAATCTGCAGAGGTAATCAGAGACCAGATGCTTTCTTCCTTTTTTTTTTTTGTACGTGGATGGGATTCTGATTTCAGGCTAGCAATTTAAAGGGCAACAATTCTTTGCAAGAAGCAAGCAGTTAAATTTCAGCTGCCAAATGCGCTCTACGAGATGAACCTACACAGTCGGAAGCAAGTATCACTGAGTTTGATAGAGCTGACTCTCAAGTATTTACTCGAGTATAATGCGTCATGAAATCTAATGCTCACCTTAATTTTTGCAACGCAATTTGGCCAAAAAAGGTGCGCATTAGATTTGAGTAAATAAGGTATACATAAAATTGCAGTCTTCAGATCCTAATATATAGTGGTGGTGGTGGGGCTGCAGTCAGGATAAGTACTACATACTTAGAGTAGATCTGTGGAAATGAATAAACATAGCTTTCTTAGGGCCATTCATTTCAATGGGCCCACTGTGAGTAGAACTTAATGGAATACAACCCTGTGTATTGTGCTATGTATTGTGCGAGCTCTCTCTCTGTGTTGAAATATATAAAAATATTTAAAAATTG